GTGTGTGTGTGTGTGTTTGTGAGTGTAGAAATCTTCTACATACATACATGTGAGACAGCTGGTCGATTTCATATGCACGTGTGCTGTATGGGTGATGCAGAGTGAGTGCAAGAGCATACACATGTGCTTAATGAGTATGTCAATGCCATCATGCCCTGCTTGTCAGGACAATGGGAGGTACTGCTTTGCAGCTGACTGGCTCTACTCAAACACTTACTATAGATTTTATTTATACTATAACAAGGGTTTAGTGCCAACATCAATGCTCAATCCCTGAATGATGCAATGCAACTCCCAAGTGCAATCCAAGGAAACAATACACCCACTGCACTGAGTGCTATCCTCTCTCCTGTGAGCTTTACAGTGATCATCACCACTCCATATTCACTCTTATAATCTCTCTCTCTCTCTCTCTATCTATCTATATTATACACACACACACACACACACACACACACACTAGTTCTGCTTTATCCCTTCTTCTTGCACAGCCCATACATGCTCAATGCCAGGAGGACATGAGTGTGCTGTTATGCATTTTGACACACACACACACACACACACACACACCCATGATGGTGATTAATACATTGGGATTTCTATCAATTTGTCCCTAACCACCGCAGACTACACACACACACACATAAAGAAAGACTGATGAAGGCAGACAAAGCAGGGGAACGCCCCCTACACCAAGATACTGTCAGGTCATTAACTGGCTTAGGCTGGATTCCAGTCATTGCTCAGATTCACGGATTAATCAAGAAAAACGATGGCAGTGAATACCTGCGTGTCCAGAGTGCAAACAGTTAACTGAAATCCTCCAGAAATGACAAAATACCCCCAAACCTTTGTGCAATGTCCATACAAGGCCATCTTTAAAGTGCACACAATGCAGGAGATTAAGAGGTTAGCTAGCTAGCGAAAGATTTAAGATACTTGAAGCCTACTCACCTAACAAAACAAAAACAGAAAAAAAAAGGTGGGCTCAGGAGGAAAAACACAGCCAGGCAGACAGAACTGACGCGTCCCTGTCGTCTGGGAGTTTGGCCTTTTTCTTATCTGTCTCTGCCGCGTTGTCGGTTTCCAGGTAGATGACGTTACGGGGCGAATATCGAAGCTAAACGCGGTTAGCAACCTCGGTTTGAGTCTGACGGGTCAAATGATCGGACCGTTTCAGTCTCGTCCGTCTTGCCACATAGCTCGCTAGTTGGCTGACTACGTCCCTTCCTCTCTCTGCCTGTCCTTTTTTGTGCTCGCAGCTGTTTTCGTTGTTTCAACCTTTGCCTGAAATTCCTCCTCTGTCCCTTTAAGCGACAACGTTTCCGGGGTTTGAGGGGGTCATATATAGGGGGCGGGGCTTCACGGCCAGCTGAGCGCCTGTCATTTAAGCGATTGGTCGCTTCCATTGCTTTAAACCAATCAGGGTTCAGGGATAACGCCTTCATTAAATTATGCAGATTTATTCAAACAATCTCACACCGTGATTGGCTCAAGGATTAGCTCAAGAAACGCCCAGTACACGTGCTTTTTCTCCCCTCCCATTCTTCAGTGCCAAAGAAGCTCCGGCTGTCAATGGATCCTATCATTTTTAACAACAAAACTACAACAAAACATGATCCGATTTAAAAGCAAAACTTAATACAGTACAGATATTATATGGTAAAATTATTTTTTTATTACAACGAATTAAATCACAGTCACGTACGCATAGTAACCCGGTTCCTTTCTTCCGTTTGTTCTGAATCAGCCATAGCCATGTTGTCACATAGCTAAGAATAGATCAGCTACACGTTGTATCCCCATATTGCCTTGCAGCTGCACTGAGCTCCACGCCCATCTACCCAGAGCACACTGGGGCCTGATTATACTTTGCTGTGGAGATGAGGCCTGTGCAGATAAAAGGAAGGCCTACTGAAAGCTCAGGGAGTACAGTCATAGCCACTGCAAAATCCCCTATCTGTAGTTCTTTTTATCCTAGAGCTGTTATGCTTTGAGCTATATTACAGGCAACTGGAACCAAATCATTATATTTACCTATCATAAAACCAGTTAAAGGTATTTGTCAATCATTCATCAAATCATTTAAAGCACCACAAAATGTTGTATAATCACAATTATTCCACATCACAAATGCATTTAAAAGAGCAGTAGTAGTTAAGCATGCATGCAGACAACTGTATGTATCATGAGTGCAAAAAGTGGCTAATGAAGTTTTTCATCATGGATTGTCTGTTGTCAGGATACAACAGAGGACACTTGTGATACATTCTTGGTCGCATCCTGTCAGTCAGTGTGCATTTGTTTGCGATGTTCCGTTACCATAACATCTTTAATTTGGCTTCTGGAATATTGTATATTTTATTGTCTGTTGTGAAATTGAATGTTTAAATTT